ATTGGAAGTAATTACAATAAGATATTATATAGAGTAGTTTTTTGATATTTTTCATAAGTAAAAACAGCATTTTTATTATAATGATGAGCACTGTATATGACACATTAGTCTAGAAATTTTGTGTTTATATTAAATTCTATATCAATATGTATTATCGCTATATATAGTACTGCAATATAGTACTGGAAATTTCAAAATGAATTTGTGTCACTTTGGAACCAAATACATGATTCCATTCGAACAAAATATCAACATTAGATTTGTATAGTGAGGGCGAATTTAATATGATATATTTGTTCGAATGGGATCACTGGATATCGAGATACATGTATTTGGTTCCAAAGTGACAAATTCATTTTTGAAATTTCTAGTACATGTAATATATTGCAGGGTGTGCGTCTCCCGGGGAAAATAATGGCAGTGAAATGTTATGGTGCATAACATATAAAGTCATCAAACATTTGTATTTATAAATGTATTTACTTCTTTACTAAGAAGTAAATACAAATTTTAATTTGTGAATATGTTAAGATACCTTTCTGAACATATTCACGGGTTAAATTTTGTATTTACTTCTTAGTAAAGAAGTTTATACATTTATAATGTTATGCACTATAGATATTATTTGAACATAAAATTATAATTTTCCGATTTAGATAAGGTTTACAATACTAAATTAGGCTCTAGAATGTTATTTCAAAAACCAATAGAAAAAAATGGAGCTTGAATATTTTTTTTTATAATCATTTTAGCTTCTAAAATACCAATTTGATGTGTTTGAAGTTATAACTTTTTGTTACAGAGTTTTTAAAAAATCCTACTTGATAATCTGTTCTGAAATTTTTTAAAGAATTATTCCACCTTTCAATTACATTTATTATAACTATACTTTGTTATATAATATTATTGTTAACAATTTATTGAATTTCATTTTCTCGCCAGCCAGAAATCAAAATTGATATTATTAAATTCCTCTTGATGATATTATCAAAAATACAACCTCTGAATAGTGAATAACCTTTGTATACAGGAATTTAAATTTAATTTATTTATTCAAAGCAATCTCAAGGAATTAAATGGTGGTAGTTTTGTTTTAATCTAATTTTTGGCTGGCAACAATACGAAGAAAGCATCATAAAATACACTTATAGTAAAAGCAATAGTAATACAATTTTTACCATGTAAGTAATTTTTTGAAAAAAAAGGATGATGTGAAATAATACATGTTATTTCTGTTCATCGTTAACTTAAAATATATTTAGAATATTTTAAAGAAGTCATACATATTCTAGAATTCTGGTAATTATGGTTGATCATATAATTTATCATTTAACTTGCGATTATACAAAATTTTACTATTCCAACAAGACTGCACCCATTAAGAAAAAACGTTTAGCTGAATTTTATATTGGAAATTATATATATTAATTAGAAATGTAAAATATAAGGAGCTGATATTTTGAAAGACAAAAGTTAACACTTTTTACCATATTCAAATCTGGATTGACATAGAAGGAGAATGCTCTATACCTTGGTTTTTTTAGGGTATCATGTCTTATTAAGAAGCATTTTAAAAATAAAATAGTTATTTATTATAAATTTCCTCTTTTACAAAAATTTCAATGCCATTATTTTTGTTGGGGACTGCATATTAATATTATTCATATTATGCATAAGAATCTCATGTGAGAATGACAGACACATTACACTTATAACATGTATTTGATGTATTGAAGCAAGAGCTTTGTATTATTTCCACACACAAACAGAAAATATAAAATACTTCTTTTATTATTATGCATTCTGTCTTATTTTCTTGTTCCATAATGCGTTCCTGTGTTATTTTATAAATACAGATGGAAGAATAACAACACATAGAAATCATTTTATTTGAAATCTTATATGGTTTCTGCAAAGGATGTTTAGATCACAATATTCATGATTGTAATACATGTCTGAGACACAAATGTCCAAAAAAATTACACTACACTATGATGTATTTCAACTAATCTCATCAATAAATTGTATTTTATAAATTCAATAAAAATTTCTTTACTAAGTAGTAAATTATATTCATAAATTGAATTTTGTATTTACAGTCAAATCCCTCTATATTCACACTGTTTATGGTCACATTCCTCTTTTGCTATATATAAACATAGTAAAAAATCACTCTGTAATCACCTAATTTTGCTTTCCTGAGAGTAATGACTATAGAGAGATTTGACTGCACTTAGTAAAGAAGTTTATTGAATTTATAAAATACAATATATTGATAGGTTTCGATATCATACACTATTGAGTGTTCTAACGAGAATAAAAATATCGCCTGTCCAATAAATGAATGCACAAAATTTGCTGATAAACGCTATCGTTATGAATCTTTTGAATTGATCTCTTTTGATGTTAAATATCTTACTAAATGATGAAGCATTATTGTACGGCTACAAGTAAAATCATGGATCGAAATATGTTTTATACTACCAAAAAAATTAATAAACGATAAGTCAATAAATAAATATAATTTTACCTTTGTTTGAAAAAAACTGACATTTGACATTCCTAGACATTAGATATGAATTTTAATGTGACTTATATTGAGAAATAAAAGTGGCTGCATCAGTTAGAATTGAGATTAGCTTGTAGTAAAGAGTTAAGTGGTATTAATCGCATTGGAACATTTTTCATTTTCTCATAAAGTTCATTTAATTTCTGCCTTTCTAGTCTAACACACTTTAATTCTTCACGTGTTTAAAAACATGCCAAGTATTCGGTAAGTATTCGGTTCTTACTCTTCATGCCATCCATAGATATCGTAGAGATTCTTAGCAGTTGATCTGTTTTCTGGGGGCGTTATTTGGTATCGTAGGTGTGCTCCTCTGTAGATGTCTAATACTAAAAATATATATATATCATGACTCCGCTCACTTACCTGTTACAATATCGTATGCAACAAAATACACGTATAAACATCTCCAGAATAATACAAGTACTCTGGAAATAATTGATTGTATTTTTTTACACCTGCCCAAAATCGATAATGAAATCATTACAAATACAAGTTTCATAGTACAAGCAATCTGAATATATTTTTGAAAACTCAATTGCGTTAGAAACAAAAAGCAATTATCTACACTTTAGAAATGGTTCACTTTATAAACTCATGTGATTTACTTTGAATCATGTATAGTGCATAACATCGTGATTTATAAATTTAATGAACTTCTTACTAATAAATAAATACTAAATTTAATCCGTAAACAGAATACAGTACCCGACAAAAGTATCCCCGCACCGATAATTTTTGATTGATCATGTGTAGGTCCCTGAAATTTTATTGCATAGTTCATGTACATGTACATCACAAACACTGATCATTGATACCTTTTTATTGATTGATAGATTCTATATCTATTTTCGCTCAAATTGGGTCACTGGATGTCGAAATATTGCATACTAAAGTGACCGATTCATAATTCACCGATCAATTTTTCATTAGAAATTGATTACCTAAAAATGAATCGAAATGATAAATACATGTATCTCGATCTCCAGTAATCCAATTCGAACAAAAATAATACCGTTTGATTCGTTTAGTCAAGACGAATTGAATGGTATTATTTTTATTTGACTCAGATTACGGAAGATCGAGACATCACGTCCTAAATTGATCGATTCATTTTTGTTATATCAAAAAAATGAATCTGCTACTTTAAGATGCAATATTTCGATATCCAGTGATCCGATTTGAACAAAAATACTACTATTCGATTCGTCTAGTCGAGACGAATCGAACAGTTTTTTGTTCAAATCGGATCACTGGATGTCAAGAATTAGATTATTGGATATTGGGATGTGTGTTATGAAATAACTGATTATATTTGGGATGCGAAAGTTTATGAACGTTAAGCGTAAAAAGATATAAACACGAAACTATCGGCTTTAAATGTCAAGGATACCGGTATTTATCCTTCTAATTCGGCTCATATAGTGTTTGATAATAAATTTTTTATATCTAATTTATAAAATGAGAAATCTATTATCCTTGTTTGATTCTGTTAACTTTCTAGAATTTTTATTTTCATGACTATTCGAATAAAAAATAAAAGTGTTTATTTGAAACCTTGAAACCCCTAAAAATTAATTTGACTTGACAACAGATTATTTTGTGAAATAGTGATTTAAATCAAAATATACAATTAGTAATTTCTCACATTGAACAACTTTTTTCCAAGACAGATCCTATTTTTCCTATGCTACATGAATTAATGCTCCTAGCATGGATTCGGTCCTTCGGGATCTTAAATCTCGATAATTTTTATGAAAATTGGTAAATAGATAGAGTAGGACATTTTTAATTAGTGGTTCAAATTAGGATCTGTCTTGGAAAAAAAGTTGTTCAATGTGAGAAACTTATTTGATTTAAATCACTCTATTTCACAAAATAATCTGTTATCAAATTAATTTATATTAGATTTCAAGATTTCAAATACACTTTTATTTTGTTCGAACTAATTAATAGTTATGGAAATAAAAATTCTAAAAAGTTAATCTTCGTGTTTCGTTACATGTATATATATCATAAATATCGGATCAGAATCAAAATACAAAAAAACATTTCAAAAAAAACTAACCCGAACAATTCAATGCATTTATAATTTATCAATAAAAAATTCTTTTTAAATTAAATAGTGTATTACTTTGTAAGTCATCATAATGAACAATCAAAAAAAGCCATTTTTCAAAATAAAAAATATTTATTACATAGTTCAATCTCAATAATGTGTTGTATATACATAAGTATTCCAATCATATTTATCCACAATAATCACATATGATCTATCTCTGAATGAAAGTTAAATGTATAAATATATTTTTGCATACATTATATAATATACTATTATTCTCAAATATAAAATGATAGAAAAGTACTAGGAAAAAAAAGAAAATTAATATTTAAAGAAAGAAACAAGTTTTGCCAATACTACTAAAATGTGAATTCATTCCAGTTTTTGATTTTCCTCTCTTGCAATAGTATCATCTTCCACACTCAGATCTTCATTGTCTTTGTCTTTATAATCAGGAACATCTTCATATCCCCCTTTTAGATCTTCCATTCTCAATTCCAAATCATTGTTCCTATCATGTTCTTCAATTAACTCTAAGTCCTCTCCGCCTTGAAGATCCAAGTCTTTATTATACTCCCTTTTCAAATCCAAATCCTTTTCCTTCCTTTGTTCCTTTTCTTCTCCGTTGCTAAATATCAAGACATCTTCCGTCCGATCATCTGTTTGATTTTCCACACTTCCTTTAATGATATATAATGTATTTTCCTCAGATTTCCCTTCCTCCACCTTAGAAGAAACGATTGTGTCTATTTCTTGGGTAAAAGTTTCCCATTGTTGACGTCGAATGAATTGCATTTCTATAGGTGGATCTTTGAGAAAACGGATTGAAATGTACGCTCGATAAGGATTCGCTGGAATGCCTGTTATGACGAAAAAGTGAGTCCAGATCCGTTATTACTGCATTTTCGCATGGAATATTCTCTCCAACCAGTTGTTTTTTACCTGATTGATCCTTCGATTCATTTTTCCGTGGTAATAAATCTGTGCCGGTGGATCGACGCCAGTATGACCAACATTGCCCAGAGGTTTTTGTGGGGATACCTTCAGCTATCTTTGCCCAATCTTGGCCGTATTTTGAATAGGCTTCTTCGAATGCGGTGATTTCTTCTGATGTCCAAACTATATCACCGTAACGATTTTTTGCGGCTGCTAATGTTCGTCCGGGTAATCGCTCTAATATCTTGGTCCAATCATCACCAAGCTCCTTTACCGATTCAAAAAGTATATCGTTCTCTTGCTTTGTCCAAGTTTTGCTTGAAGATGAAGGCGTAGATGTAGATGTAGGTGTAGGTGTGTCATACGTTATGTGTATTTTCTCGGGTTGTTTTCTGAGTGCATTGTTTATCTGATGCAATCCTTTGTCGAGGAATTCCCCGAGACGTACATCCAACGGTTCATTTATATTGGTGTACTTCAACTGACATGCTTTTGCTGACCTTGTGCCATGGAAAACCTCTGAGGAAATCAATTCGAAATTTTCACCATGTTGCTCAACGCTTCTACGCAGTTTATCTACTTCTTCAGTAGTCCAGGTACGTACTTGATTTGGATATTTCGGTGTAGTCATTGGGCCAGAATTCGGCATATTGTTGGTATATCGCGGTATATTGTTAACTTGCTGCCCTGGATCTGGATAGTTATTATTACCGAGTTGTTGTCCAGGAGAAATTGGGGCTATACCTTGAACAACTCTATCCCATGCCATCATACAAGCCTTGGGGGATCTAGAAGCCTTGAAATAATTTTGTGATATTAGGTCCCAGTCAGAACCTTCTTTCTTTACAGCTTCGGTTAATCGATTGTATTCTTCTAGAGTCCATTTATTATAGCGGAGAGGATTGTAGGAACTGGTGAATCCGCCATTACTGGTGAATCCGCTATTACTAGTAGGTGATAACATCTGGTTTGGATTATTTCCCCTATAACTCGCATATATTTGTGGACTATTTTGAAAGTTGGCGGACGGCGATGATGATTCTTCAGCATATTGTTGATGTGGAGGTCTAATCAATGTTTAAAATAACAAATAAATTTGCGTCTCTCTCTTACACGTACACGAATAATTAAATAGGCAATTATTGGTTTACCTTTGCATATTACCACGATCCAGAAATCGATTCGTATATATAGGTATAGGTCTCGGTATATTTTCTGGTGTCGAAGATGATTTTGAAATATCCTGTCCTGGTGGTGGAAAATTAGAGTTTCCTCTAGGAAAAGGCACACCACTATTATTATTACTAGTGTTGCTTTCTCGTGAAAAGCGTTGTTGTGAAGGTGGTGGCTGAGATTGACCTTGTTCAAACACCGATTGCCTTGGTTGAACAAACGGGTCATTAATAGGACTAGATCTTGGTGTTGGCGCCCCTTCACCAAACGGATCTAATGACGAGTAGTGTGCTTTTGAATTGAATAAAAGGTTCCTTGACTTTATCAAAGTACTGCCACTACCACCATTACCCCGAAATACTCTACATAGAGTCTTAGGGTCTAGAAATTTTAATAGCATTATTTTTTCCCAAATATTTAAATATATAATACTTTTGGAGGCTAATAATTACGCGTTTTTTTATAGATTGATCACGTGCCTTTGATTTATTGTCCAATCAATATACATGCATTAATAGATAACACCAGCCAATAATATCGAACTTAACCTTTCACTTGGTGTTTTTATTTATTTAATAAATATTTACTCGTCCGTTGTTGATATCTTTTGAGCAAGAATTTCTTGGATAGATTGTGTGGGTAAATTTTCGCCTTTACCTCCTAACCGTTCAATTACTAATTTGGGACGCACACGATGTGCATGATCATACCAACAACTAATTCCTGGCTTTACATCATCATAAGCTGGAATAGTAGAGGAAGTTGGAACTGCAGCTGCAGTTGTCGGGTAACTATTAATTGGTATCATTATTGTTGATGACTCATCGCTACTATTTTTTTCTTGGAGCATCTTTTCCCATGTATCAACCATCTCAAAACAGGCCCTATTACCGCAAGTATGTTTTGTTCTCGCTCTACAATTTTGACATTGAATAAACAACAAATTACACGCTTTGTTTCGGCAATTTGTGTGAATATTGCAAGGACTACCACACGTATGACATTGCGACACAATATCGTCGGTTATTGGTTCGCCGAGTCGTTTATCAAATGTAAAGTTTCGTCCTTTATATAGCGATTTTATGGATGGATTGGCGACAACAAATCTTCCATATGCTGTTATGCCGCCTCTTAGCACATTTACGGATTTGAAGCCATTTGAGCGTAGAATTGCGCCAGCTTTAGAACATCGTATACCACCTGAAGAAATTTATAAAATTAAACACGACAAATCAAGTTGAAAATCCCAAGACTCAATTAAGTCGTATTTAAATCGTACCTGTACAGTACATGAAAATCTCTTCGTCATGTTTTCCTTGACAAATCTCATTCATTGCTTTAATACTATCACGAAAAGTATCCACATCAGGACGCATCGCATCTTCAAAATACCCGACCTCGCTGATGATGTAAAGAGAAAACCAAAAAAATTGTATGAAATAAACTGAAACTACACCAACATTTCGATATATAATTCTGAGCATTTAAAGTTGTGTCCTTAGAGATCAAACTGTTATAAATCTCGTCTACCTATTTATATAATGTACCAATTTGACTTTACAGATAAGAAATAATAAAAGAATAAAAGCCCAAAGTATTATTTGAAGTAGTCATAAACGTAATTAATTCTTCCTGTTATAATAATAAACTTACGATTCATAGTGATTCCGCATATCTATCACTATAGGCTTTATATTGGTATTAGAGAGTGCATGATGCCATTCTTCCGCGGATAAATGTTTTGGTTGTTTTCTAATATCATAGGACCCAGGTTTAAGACCGTCAACTACAATCTGTTTAAATAGAGAATCATAAGTAAAGAAAATCTCACACACACGTCAAAAAAATTTCAACGAATTAATTACTATTCTATACCTGATTCCTTATCCGCACAATCAATTTCAGAAAAGACGCTCGATCTCCATGTATCGTCGAATAATTAAAGTCACCAATTCCACCATCTACTCGCTCATCAATCTTTCCAAAAAACCTGGGAATTTCCTCGTCACAATACTTTCTTAACGCGTTCACCTTTTCACCAGGACACGATATTTGAGCATTGATCCCCTCAGTAGAAATATAGATCCTACCTAAAATCCCAAAATCCTTGAAATTTTTCACCATTGATTGGTGAAGAGAACCTAACCGTGTATCTTCAATAGGATTAAAAGTATAAAAAGACAAGTTGAGCCATTTAGGATCATTATTTGGCTCTTGATCTGCAGTAGAGCAAGCACTTGTTGCTATTGTTGTGTTAAAACGAATTTGACGTTTTGCAAGTCTGTGGATGTTAATCGAATTGTTCTTGTATAAGGAAATCCGAGCATTATTCAAGTTTCGTAATGTTCGATGCAAATATGTGGTTGTGTGCCATGGACGAAAATGCAAATTTTTGGGTATGTTTGAAGTTTTAATCGCTGAAAGCTTTATTTTACAGGAGGAAGACGTGTAACATTCAGAAAGAAGTTTCTTGGGAAAAATCTGTACGAGTCCCCAAAATGGTCGTTTTATAATTAATATCATTTTGACTTCGAAAATGCATTGATCCGAGACAAATTTTTTGAATTTAAGATCTACGATAATATTTAATTACTGACGTTACACTACACTACAATATCGCGTTTACATAATTGACTCGCAAGTGATCCAATTCTTCAAACATCTGACTCAGTAATTCTTTGGCTTTATGCAAATTTGGCTTTTGATCGATCGTTATTACAATGTAAATATTCGTTAATGTTGTTTGATAATGCCATAAAAAATTATTATTTGGATTTGTAAATACCTGAAATATGTGTATTCCGTATTGAGAAGTCACAACAAGCTCGTCAAGTCCATCTTGATTCAAATCCAAATGATCAATTCGATAAATGGGATGAGCAAACGACCTTCGCCATATTAATTGAAAAGTGAGATCATCATCGCCTTCACCTGAACTCTCTATAAGAATATTACGGATTAATAGATAAACAAATTACAATAATCCAATAAATAAAAAATTAACCTAACCTTGTTGTTTATAAATCAACAATTCTCGTCCATAAGTACCCACCAAAACTTCATTTCTCCCATCCCAATCGACATCCATCACATGCGAACAAAGCACACTATCATGTTGCGTGCATTCTCGCAATTGTATCGGGCACTTTACGCCTCTTCTATCAACAAATCGATAGATCAACACTTGTTCTACGGCACATGTGACTAGCATGTGAACGTCGCCAGGGTTTTGTTCGCTTGTCGATGTGGTGAATATTGAGATTGAGGTGATTGGACTGAATAATGGGGCGAATTGTGGTTTTTCAAGTTGTATATAATTTCCTTCTTTGTTGTTATTTGAGCCTTGTTGTAAGATTGCTAAATGTAAAATTCCATTCTGACATCCAGCTGCAATTATTTTCTTTGTACCGATATCAAATATTTCTAGTGACAAAATGGTGCTAAATTTTTTTTTAATTAATAATTGAATCAAGAAATAAATTAAAAAATTGATAAGCTTTAATTGTTCATTACGTTACTTTGATTTCAAACTAGCCATCTCTGAAAGAAATGGGAAATAAGGCTGAACAGCTTCTTCTCCCCACGCTTGTTTTTCAAAGCCCTATAAAATTAAAGTATTCATTAATTTAATTTTGAGTTGTACAAAATAATTAATAAATTAATTAATTTTCTTCAACCCTCACAAATGTATACAAATGAACTCCACTATCTGTACCACACAAAAGCAAACAGAGTTCCGACATGCTATCATTATTATTGTTGCAAGTCTTACGTATTAACGTGTGGGTTAATTGCATCGGTGTAAATGTTAATGGAATCTTTTGGCATTTTTCTAAAATGAAAATTTTTGATAAAAGAATATAAATCAAAAAGTCATAAAATGAACGCGTGAAATACCAGTTATTTTAAATAACGCGTCTTCCATACACGATATCGATCCTAGATCATTGATGGAATAGATTCGAAGCATAAACTGATGTTGCCCTTCGACTTCTGTTGTATTTTTGAGATTATTTAGCACCTGTGATGGAGATTAAAAAACATACATATTTATTATATAAAAAAAGATAATTATTAATAGTATAAATTATATATTTACATGAACAGTGGTAAAAGCCAACACAAGTCCTGTTTTATCACTATAAAAAGAATCCATCGAAACAATTTCACCTACGGATTTTTCAATAAAAAAATTTAGTAATAATAAAACGTGAAAAAAATCGACTTTATCATGGCAGCTTATACTAACTAACCAATGTCCTTATCTAATTGCAACTCGATGGTATTCCAATATCCGGCCGCGGAAACCAAACACGTGACCCCGTAGAAAGAACTGGCGAATACATGCTTGTATTTATTATCGTTAGAAGATGCTTGCAATTGGGAAAATTGATAAATAAAAAATAGCAAAGATAATAATTTGGATCATAAAAAATAATTTCAATTACTAGGTAGATGCTGATGATGATTATCGATATCGTAGATATTATCGTTAGGCATCGACGATAGAAGACTTGATGGGAAATCTGGACTTGCTGGTATTTTACCAGACAAAGGAGTTTCTACCACTGCTAGTCCATAAATATTTCTAATAATATTTATTTTGTTAATAGATGAATTTTTTATAATAAAAAACCAAGTTGATTTCTTACGTTCTTCCACCAGACGAAAATCGCGAAAAATGAGTTTCATTAAACAAATCATCCATCAACATCATTGACATTTTTCTACTTTTGCCAATTAATTTAATTTTTCCAAAAAGAAATGTTTATTTCCTCGTGACAGATTTTTGAAAATCGTAACAGATTTTATCGCTACTGTTCACTATTCAAGAAAAAATGGCCACAGGAGATCCATTCTTTGCGGTTAAAGAGTAAATTTTCAAATTATATTCAACAAATCATAAAAATTCTTTGAATAGTGAATGAAATTGCTATTTTTTATTTAAGATTACTTAAATATCATGAAAATCTTTTTGCAGAGAAGTAGAACAAAACATTGCAAGCGCAGAAACACTTTTCCAAAGTTGGACACGCATATACAGTACCGTATCCTCGAGAGACAATGAAGAGCTTCAACGAACCGAGGAGGAAATTAATGTGACATTGCAAACTATTCTAGGGGATTTGGATGACTTGGACGAATCTATTAATATCCTTTTTCTTGCAAACTTAATTCTTTGATCTTGATTATTACAAATCTATTTGTTATTTCACTCCTTTACCAATTATCAATCAACCAATTAACAAATTTTTGCATTGACGACGACGATAATAATCAATTGAATAAATAAATACGAGTAGTAGAATTTGATCCAACAAGATTTAATTTATCAAGTAAAGATGTAGAATCTCGTAAGAGTTTTGTAGAGGTTACGAAGCATCGAGTTCAGGTAAGTTTCTCAATTGTTAGTTTCGAGTTTCAAAAGAAATCGGCAGTAAAAGTTAAAATGAATTCTGATATTGTAGGAAATAGGATTAACTTTATCAGACCCGCCTGCTCAGTCACGAGATAATGCGAAAAATCAACGGCAGGTAGTTATTACGTTCGCTTCCGTTATTATCATTTACTGAATATTAAATCAAACCAAATAAATTGAATTGAAATATTTGATTTGCAAAGTAAATAATAATTCTAATAAATATTAAAAATAACAGTATAATTGTTATTTTCATTATATATAGGAACTATTCGAAAGCCGACAAATATTCTCAATAGATAACTACTCTTCACGATCGCGTATCGAAGAAGTAGAATTGGATAATACGCGTTTCATAGAAAATGAGGCACTTCAACAGACAGTAAGTTAGTTTATACATCATGTGTAGTACTCAGGTTATTATTAATAAATCGAAATACCTAGATACTTGTCCAAGAACAAGATGAACAACTAGACTCACTATATGGCACCGCGCGAAACATCCACGCTATTGCTACGACTATGGGTACTGAGATAGAAGATCAAAACATGTAATTGTAGTTTGGTTTTTGAATTTTTATAATAATTTATGTTTCCTTATTTTAATGTTTCTTTTAATGTAGACTTTTAGATGACTTTGGCGACCGGCTTGACAGCACACAGAATCGAATTGAAAAATCGATGCGTAAATTGGTTCATATTATAAAAAAGAATGAAGGTAGCGCTGTCATAATCTTATTTATTATATATTATGATATTTTTTTATTTTTTATTCTTACAAATTAAACCGTTTTTTTTTTTACAAACTTGTAGAAACAAAATCTACATGCTGCATCGGAATACTTATTGTTGTTTTGTTTATTCTGCTGATTCTGGTTATCGCTATATGATTGAATCAAGATATAATTCGAATTACATATTTATTGAACTTTTGAATAAAATCAAAGATATTGAGACAAACAAATTGCATCAAGAAATTGCACCAAGTTGTTTGATTTTTCCGAATCTTACACGTGTTCTAATTTTATTAGCATAATATTAACCCAAAATGATAAAAAATAGTGACATAAAAAGCCATTCATGTTAATCAAGTGTCTCAGTATTTAAAATATTAATTCAACAATTTCAACCGATTCTAATCACTGGTTGTTGAAATATTGTTTCTCAAAATGACTGAATGATTGATTCCAGTTGTTGGACATTGATATATTACCTCTACGACTAGACATGATCAATTTTAATTAGTATTTAAACTATCTGATTATCCGATTACAATCAATTATCCGATTACAATCAATTATCCGATTACAATCAATTGTCCGATTATTTGATAGCAATGATTTAATCCGGATAATAAACAAAAAAGTTATCTAGATCTGTACTACATTTTCTTCGCATAAGCATAATAGGTGATGATTTTATTTGTTTAATGTAGATCTTACGCGTCTGTCATTTATTTCAGACATGGGTAATTTAACTATATACAACTATTCGAATAAATAAATACGACTCTACGAATGTTCACATATAAATATAAATATAATATATATAACATTGTTTTCTCGGATAAATATCACATTAAATTATCGTCGTTGTTGCCATTAATATTGTTTGTTACTGAATAACACAATCTTTATCCTTATCTGATTTTCGTTGTTTCTTTAACTTTGTTTGAACAGTATCTTCGTGCTCCTGGCGTGTTATTGTTCCGCCACGTGATAATCTTTCCTTGGCATCTTGGTTACCATGTACAGCAGCCTATAGATAATAATATCATAAGAAACCAATAGTATATCAAAACAAAAACAATTTCTCTGATTAAAATATGCCTACCTTTGAATACCATTCATGAGCAATTTTAGGATCCACGTGCGTATTAATCCCCACTTCGTGAAAATACCCCATCGCAAACTCGGCAGCCGCCAATCCCTTCTTTGCAGCCTTCTCAGCATAAATATACGCCAACGCCTCATTTTGATCGAAATATCCCTCAGCGCCACACAAATACCACTTACTCAGCGCCATATCAGCTTCTACGTAGCCTTTATCGGCGGCACGTTGATAATACGAGACGGAAAGTTCCGGGTCGAATGGGCAACCGAGTGTCGCGTATTCGTAACAGACACCCATTTTGTAGAGGGCGGGTGCGTAGCCTAAGTTTGCGGCTTTTTGGATCAAATCTATGGCTTCGCGTTCGTCGGGTACAACTAGTTCGTCGGGCACGTTGGCTGCATGATAGTCTTTGGCGAGAATCATTCCGTAGACGAATGCGCCTTCGGGACAGTCTTCGTCTGCTTTGCTGGCTGCTTGTTTTAGGTAAATCAGTGCTTGTTTGTGGTTAATCTCTTGTTTCATGTCACCTAGCATATATATTAATGCTAGTCGCTAATTAAATAAAAATAGCAAACTATTAATACGATATCTAATTGAATATTTTGAAATAAAATATTACATTTTTAACTTACATATAATGCAGTAACATCACCTAAAGATGCGGCTTTCTGAAGGAACGAAAATGCACGACCAAAATTTCTTTGCCGTTCATAATGTTCACCAATTTTAGTATTAGCTTTTGCATGATCTTGCTTCGACGCCGGCATGTAATACTTTAAAGCTTTTTCCTGATTTTGCTCTTTTGTAAATTTCCCGTATTCATACCAAGTGCCCTTAATGTACATGGCTTCCGGCTGATTATTTCTCGCGAGTTTATCAATCCAATAAACAGCCTCATTAACAAGTTTCGTATGCGTGTCTGTTTTGTTTTGATCGAGGTCCTGATTGACATTGGTCGCAATATAAAAGCCCGTCATTCCGATCAGGAATTTTGCATAATCTACTTGGACGGCCGGATCATTTGTCTTTGTAGCTGCTTCACGGTACTTTTGAAGCGCTGTAGTGTCACTGGCGAGTGTATAAGAAGTAAATGTCATACGTTTTGCATGTTTGTCATCGATAAGTAAACGGAGATTACTGGTATTTGGAGATCTAGGTGCTAAAGATAAACGATTATTATCAAAATTGGGACTTGGAGATCTAGGTGCTAAAGATAAACGATTATTATCAAAATTGGGACTTGGAGATCTTCCAGGTCCATAAAAGCTTTGTCGATTCGAAGGTAGAGGTAAGCCGTCAGGGCCGAATTGTACTGGAGAAGGTTGACGCGCATAACCCAATGGAGAAGAATTACGCAGGAAATAATTGGGTGAAGGTTGTTGCGATGGTATTCCTCCTGAACCATAAGATATTGGACGTCCATTTTGGTATTGATTATATTGTTGTCCATTTAGTAGAGGTGCATTCCAAGAACTTTGATTATTTGGTGGATAAACACCATTTGGTTGAATATATTGACCTTGCCCTAAGAATTGTCCATTATTATGATTATTAACATTAAGTGTCAATGGATCTGTTTTCACTGTTAAGACTGGTTGCTGACGATGTGTATCACTAACACCAGCACCAGCCATATTGTTCCACGATTGAGAATGAGACAGAATTGGACCACCTCCTCTCTCACTATTATTATATTGATGATATTCTTGTATAGTTAAAGTCGGCGGGATTGGTGAAGTTGGGGCACTTGAGTGCCCTTTTTTTTGTTCAGAATGTGACATCGACATCGATGTTGTTCGCGTTATCTCTTCTGATGCACGACCTTCATAAGCAATTAATAAATTAGTATTGTTTGATAATTATCGATCATAGAAATGAATAAAAAAATACCTGGTTGATTATAAGGTGAAGGGTATTGTATTTGTGTAGGTGGTGGTCCTTGCATGCTATTAATAGTCCAGCTTTGTGCTTGTTGTGGTTGAGGTTGTTGCGGTGGAAAATATCCTTGTTGCTGCTGCTGTAGATTTTCATCGATTCGATGCAATTGATGTTGTGTAGAATAAATTATTTGTGGTTGAGAAAATGAATTTTGTCTTGAAAGTTGGTTTTGTTGTTGATGTTGTTCTGGATCGAGAACAGATAGATTTTTTTCGTCTCCTGCGTACCAGCTTTCAGTATCCGAAGAAGGATATCGTGCATCATTAGTGCTATTATTATTTTGATTTTGATCAGTTTGTTGTTGCGGTGTTTGATTTTCTAATGCACGAGTAATGTCGTTCTGTACAGTTGGCAAAGGTTTATGTGGTTTAGGGGATACGAGTTTTGGAAAAGTTGAGGCGGCATCTGGATTACCAGATCTTGATTGTTCAAAAGTATTAGTAATAATATGTGGCGTGATTGTGGTGGTTGTGGTAGTAGTGTACTGCATATTTTGATACTGTTCGCTACTATGATTGACACTATTACTATCAATATTAGCGATCGTACTACTGCTACTATCTATTCTCTTTGAGTTTGAACTTGTGGAAGTAGGCAATGGTCGCGGACCAACTACAGATTTTCCCCGCGATAATGAACTTTGTGATTGTAGACTAGTAATATTATTACCGTTACTATTTGCAAAGGTATTTTCTGCCATAAAGCTTTTGGATTTTTTGACTTCTGCCATATTCTTTCCTCCTTATATAAAATGAGTAAATTGGTGGCGTAGATTTTTTTACTAATGAAGATGTATAAGGAAGGTTTTTAGTTAGATTATATCGAATACGTTGGCTACACTGTTCTATTAATATCTACATTGGTAATAATATTTAAACGTCATTCTGATAATCAATCAGTGTTGCACGAATGCATTGTGTAACATTAAATAACATTCCAGTCACGTTTCGCCTGGAAAATTAATTCGTGCCAAGAAAATGACGAGATCAGACTCGTAATAACCGCTACAGCTATGGGTCGATTCATTCACTTGTCAAGCAGTTAGAATCACCAAGTTCTTCATGGAGTACAATCATTAAGGCTGAAGAATAGTGCTCCAACTGGGTATACTTATTTGTACCCGGATCAGTCGATTAATCATAATCGTCGATTATATCCGGATTAGTCGACTAATCGTTCAACTTACTTCCTAATCGATTAATCGTAATCGTCGATTATATCCGGATCAGACCGATTACGGATCAAACGATTCGTATTACTAATGCAAAATTGCCTCCCTGACATTTTTTATTAGTACTTCAAGTTAGATTTGAATATACATTTTCTGTATTTTTTGCATTTTTCTCTCTTGTGTCGGATTTGTTTTGCCGGATATAATCGACAATACGAATAATCGATTAGGAACAATAATCGGATCACTCAATTATATAATAATATCGATATATATCGATATCATTATTTTTCATTGGAAACACATTTTGCCGATTATTTTTTTCATTTGTTATGTAGGAAGTGTAACGGTAAGAAATGCCATTATAGGCAATCGGCGAAGTTCGTGTAATACTGATTGTACAAATAAAAAACTACGAACATATTTCTATTTTAGCTAACGAATTAAATTGGACATACAACTACTCGGATCATCCTTACTTAACCGGATCAAATCGATTTTATTTGATTACATATAAAGCTCTGTTCGGGTCGGGTTTGATCCGAAAATCGTAAAATAGTTTTTCGTTAATAACGTTTATTTTACTAAGACACTTGTACCTTGTGTCCTAAGTTGAGTTGTTCAGAATGTAATTGTGTATATATCTACAAATTTTTGTTTAATTTCAATTAATATTGAACGAGAAACAACGATTTTTAGGCTGACTCGAAATATTTTGGGTCGGGTTTGACCCCAACCCGACTCGGTTGGAGCATTATATAGACATACAGTGTCTCTCACATGTTACATGTGTGAGCCACTGTATATAGCAATCCAATACCAATTTTGAATTGTAGATCTTATATATAATAATCAATATGACCAATCAGAACTCTTTGTTTTATAATATAATATTAGTAAACATCAGGATTGTAATTTCACAAATTTAATCTAATCAATCATAGCTCAATCAAAAAGCTATTATTTTGTTGAATTAGTTTTTTTTATATTATCTTCATGCCCTGCCAGCAACGACGCTCCCCCCTTTCATCATCTAGAGCCATAGTCATAAAAAATATTGACCCTTTGTTCCAATTCTATACCATCCCTCAACTCTGAAATTTTTCTAAGCGTGTAATCTCGATCCTATTCAACGTCGCCATGAAACTATATCTCTATCACCAGTCCATTCATTCGTCAAAACCCTCTTGTATAAGGCGGTAGCAATTCTAACTGTATCAAGTTCTTCGTTTAAAAGAAATCCTTCCATTTGAGAAAAAAAATATTAGTAGGAAATTTTATAATGCAGGAAATAATCACCAATAAAACGACAAATAACCGTAATTTCGATATACTGCACTTTTAAACGGTTTTCATTTCGAAAAATAGGAATAATACAAGCTTTATTCTCAATATAGAAGATATTCATTATTGTTATCATATTCATATGATTCCGAATTCGAATGTTGTCAAAAAATATATGTTACCCTTTGCACAAATAAGTAACTTTAGTGAAATGATGATCCCATCTAATGACAATGCGTGGTGGTATCTATAAATAAAAGAGTCTGATTATATTGAAAAAAAGCAATATTGATATAACTTTAGTTGAATTCAGGAGGTAACGCAGACTTTGTAAAACAAAAAGTTTACGGAGGTGATCACTGATAAGAATGATTTTTTACCTATTCCTATATAATTGCGTATCTGAGTGAATTAAGAAAAGCTTTAATATGGGAAAATATACCTTCATTTTTTTGCAAAAAAGAAACGAAAAAGAACCATTATTCCCATTAGTGACGTTGTTTACTATATCAAAATTCAAATTTGTAAGCAAGGATAGAAATTGGTCAGGGTCGGAACAATTTTAATTCATTTAAAACAACTTTCCATCGATGATCCCATTAACAAAATGTCTATAATTCACAACAACGCATTAATACAAGCGAGTCTAAATTTACTGAACTCGCCTCGTTTGAACCTTATTAAGAATATTATATTCGTATTAGTTATATATCGTGTTTTTACGTCAAAAATCAATACATTAAGAGTACATGGCATTCGACGAACGGCTATAGAGGCATACAAATTCGTGTTTGCTGCTGCATTACGTGTTACTTTAGCTGGTGCTCCCGGAGTGAAAGCAAAGATGCGCGCAGAAGTTGATAAGGCAATTAAAGAAATTGAAGAAAAAGTTGCGCCGAAAAACCCAGGTGATGCAAGATACTTGGAATTACCTGAAGAAGGGTTGGACGAAGCTCGACTGAAAGAAGAGCTGAGTAGGTAATGACTTGGGAGAATACTCGCTTTTTTGATATCTAAAGATTTTATTCTATTCTCTGATTTCAAACACGTGTAAATGGTAAGCTTACATTCTTAAATTACTAATTTTGTTCTTAAGGTATCGGTCTATGGGGGATATAAAATGGGAAGACGGACGTGTTTCTGGTACTATTTATCATGGTGGACAAGACCTATCGCGAATTCTTTCGGAAACTTATGCAATGTTCTCGACAAGTAATCCTTTACATCCAAACATTTTTCCCGGGGTACGAAAAATGGATGCTGAAATTGTTGCTATGGTGCTCAATATGTACAATGCTCCCGAAGGAGCTTGTGGGACTACAACCTCTGGGGGCACTGAAAGTATATTAATGGCCTGTAAAGCGTATCGTGATTTGGCTAAAGATGTAAAAAAAATCACGAAACCTGAAATGTACGTGTAACTTACGCGTCGCGTTCTTGTTAATATTTGTTTCAAATATAGATAGATTGACTGATTTTGTATTTATGTAGAATTGTTCCTGAAACTGTTCATGCAGCATTTGACAAAGCTGCTTCGTATTTCAACATAAAGATTGTTCATATTCCTATGGATCCGATTACTGGCAAAGTAGACGTTAAAGCTGTTGCACGTGCTGTAAATTATAATACAACCATGGTAGATATTTGTTCTTCATCGTTATTTTTCTACGTGAAACTCCATACTACAAATGAAACATTAAAATAGATTGTTGGATCGGCACCAAATTTTCCACATGGTATTATTGATGATATCCCTGCATTAGCAAAGATCGCAAAGAAACATAATATTGGGTTACATGTCGATTGTTGTCTGGGCAGTTTTATGGTCCCGTTTCTGGAAAAGGCTGGATTCCCTACTGAACCTTTTGATTTTCGTATAGATGGGGTTACCTCGATATCTTGTGATACACACAAGGTAAATTTTATATACAACAATCCCATCTCGAATTCTTAATTTTAGAATTTCACTACAATAACTTTATTTTAATTAGTATGGTTTTGCGCCAAAAGGATCTTCGGTAATAATGTATCAATCAAAAAATTATCGTAAATACCAATACTTTTTTGCACCTGATTGGACTGGTGGAATATATGCTTCTCCTTCTATTGCTGGATCCCGGTAACAATCTTATTTATCGAATGTCCTCTTTTTAGATTTGATTTTTTTTAATGTCCAATTTACTAAAGGCCTGGAGCCTTGCTTGCTGCTTGTTGGGCTGCATTGATGTGTACCGGAAAGTCCGGCTATATTGATGCCACGAAGAAGATTGTAGGGTGTGCGAAGAAGATAGAAGCTGGGTGAGTTTTTATTTTTGTTATTTATATTAATTAATTAATTAATTAATTAATTAATTGATTGATTGATTAATTGATTTATACATTATTGTAGAATTCGCGAAATTGACGATCTATTCGTATACGGAAAACCTCTTGTATCAGTGGTTGCATTTGGATCGAAAACTTTAAATATTTATAATCTAGCTGACAAAATGACACAAAAGAAATGGGATCTCAATTCACTTCAAAATCCGCCAGCAATTCATATCGCATGCACCATGTTAACTGTTCCAAATGTCGATCAGTTCCTTCGAGATCTTAGTGATGCTGTCCGAGAGCTCAAGGAGCAACCTTTCCAAAAATCAAGCAGCACGGCTGCTTTATATGGTATGGCAGCAACTATACCGGATAAAGCAATAGTTAATGAAGTAGCTGCTGGGTATCTGGATGCGTTATACTCTGCATAAGTCATTTAAAGTTTGAAGGGAAGGATTTAAATGATGAATTGTGTTGAACTTTGAATCATGAACTATACTTATTAGTTTAGTCACCATAAGCCAAATAATAAATATTTAATTTTCATTCGATTTACTGATTTCATAACTAAAAGTTCTTAATACTCATTATCACTGCAAATAATAAATAAAGGCTAATTTATGTTCTATGATCTAAAAAAACTGAATTAATAATATTAAACAAGATTATCATAATAAAGCGTATAGTTCAAATTATCAGTAAATTCTTTATTTTATCTGTTGACTTTGTTACTATAAGTCCATCCTTCAGATATAATCAGTGATGATAACACATTCTTGAATATGTATAGAAACCTTATATGTGTTTTTCTCCGCGAAAGATTTACAGAATTGGGTAGCAAGACACTGAAAGAGCAAGAAAATTAGTAAACATTTTTATTTGCGTTGATCAAGATTATCACACATGATTTCTGCCTCATAAAAATGCCGTCTATCTCGTTGAAAAAGCCGACTGTTACATACGCAAAAAATGGTGTCGGCTCTTATGTACTACAATGTCGAAAAATGGTTTTTCATTATTGTGAAAGGGGTGGGAGTAGTCGTGGAATGATGTATGTGTATAATTTTCTTTTGTTAGTTTTTAATTCATGCTTTGAATCATCGATGATCCCTTCTTTAATATTAACTACCAATTAAACTAAAGTGAATACTTGAAAAAAGATCTAATTCCATTCGCGAAAGCAAACCCAGAAGTCGAGATCATGGTAAAGCCTCGACCATCTAGACATCCGTGTATTCGTGGATGGTATTGTGAGTAACATTTTATTTTTTGATTATTTTAATTGGCTCCAGTATTCAATCAATTTGTGCATCATCGAATTACAGTAAATGGCCGCGACAAAGTGATTTGCGTTCGAAAAATGAAAGCATCAGAAATTGGCAAAGTAGCCGAATACATTCGCGATCATAGTGGTCAGAAAGCTACTACTCGATTCAAGAAACCGGTTATTTCCACGACTGAGAGTGTTCGTGGTATCTGGAGTGCTTTTCATACGCAAAAACACGTTATTTGACTCATTTTACGGAGTTTAGTACAAAATAAATAATACCAGATAATTTGATTCGTTTGGTTTTCTATTTAATCGCTATAAATACACAAAGTCTATAACGTTAATACAAGTCGCGAATCAGCCCCCCGGAGTTTTTGCTGGTATTTTCAAACCACCCGCCTAAAAACGAAATTTGATAGAGCCCAGGCTCGTTTACAGTGTCGTGTTAGAAACCTTGTTGACGAGTGTCACAAGAAAGTAATGCTGTGGTTTTTTTACTAACTTTGAAGTAATTATTATATCACCATTTAATGGATCTGTGATCCAAACGTTTTGTTTTTAAGGCTGATGAATAGGATCATCCAGAACGAAGCTTATATGAGCAAAACCTGCACTGCGAATTTATCAAACTTAACTTAGGCGTGGAGCAGTGATGTATAGGAAATCTTAATGTCACCCGGGGGGGGGGGATTCCTGGACTTTGTTTGATGGGTTGTTTGTATGCAGTAAACTTATTGTATATACGCATTAATTAACGATCCAGGATCATAAAATCACCATTTTTATTCGAAATTGCGGATAACCGATGAAATTTACTATTTTTCATCCCAAAATATTGATTTCGTACATATCAACTGTAATATGGGATTTTATGGCGGTTACGAACTATAAAATACACAAGGTATAGATCGTAAATTATGTTCTGACAATTTAGGATCCAAAGGATTTATATTGTTTACAATAATATTAATTAATTGATCGTGTCAAACTCCTCATTTCTGCGATTGTTACTGGTAAGCCTATGTCCACCCCCTCCAATCGCCGCTCCACAATCTGGACATCTTGACTGCTCCATAGCTCCACCACACTCACCAATTGTGTAGGGGTGACCATTAGGGCATTCGTACCAATGGCCTATTATGTATTATAAGAAATACTGATTAATTATAGTTAAATATAATTTGATTCTTCAAATAAATTCAAATTTACCAGATCCAAGAAATTCTTTTTGCATCGCACGAACAATTTCAAGTTTTTGTTCTTTTGTCAATTGTGTTTTATTTCTTGCAGCTATTCTTAAATTTTCGACATCTTTTAGTATATCTTCAATCATTTCATCGCATTGTTTTTCGAGATGCTCTGCATTTAGTCGAACTAATTCAATTCTTAGTTTTTCGAGTTTTTTCTTGATGACTTCACAGCAATTCGTTTCGATATCTTTTGCCATTTGGTCAGTAATCGTATTCGAATATGAGATCGTAAACTTTCCAACTTGATATGCTAATCTTGCGTGTTCAATTGAAGCGAGCACATAATTGCGATTGTGCCTTTGATAAGAAGTCTGTTAATTAATTATTCAGTAGTCAAAAATCAAAATTTTAAAAATAAAATAGAAAATTTACATCGTTTCCTCAGCGACCTTAATTATATGGTCTATATGTGAGCTAGCTGATTCTAGAATTGTTAAACTGAAAATTTTCCATGCTTCCCACAATGTCGTGTCTAGTGGTCTCAAAATTTCCATAACCTTGCAACTTTCTTGGAACAATGCCCTTTGAATATTGACAATTTCCGAAAAAGCATCCAAATATATTTTTTTGTCAACCTTTGGTCTAATCTTCACTTCATCGAGTGTCTCATTATACTGTTTGATGAGATCATTCGAGGTAAAGCTCAATTTGTCAAAACGTTCTAACAGATCTTGTTCTATATCAATCTCGGTTTTTCTTCGATATAGATTCGCCACGGCTGCTTCGTAGGCTTTTTTATATGGCTAAAGATTAATAATAATGGGTGATACTAATTAATTTTATGCCAATTCAAGTAAACGTCGATAATAAATAAAATGTACACATACGGGATTTGTCGATGCAATAATAGTCGATGTCAAATCTGTATACGTCGAAATAAATTTTTTCACATGTTTATTCCACAGCGTCTGTTGAGCTTTAGGTATTCCATATTCTAATATTTCTTTAAATTTATTTATCGGAGCCAATTCTGGTATTCTCCTTTTATTGACTTTCACGATGAAGTCTGTTTGAGTATCTTTTTCTTCTTGCCTATTGTATTTTTTTAGAGATTCTACCATCTTTTCCAAGAACTTTTCCCTATCATGCTCGACTGATTTTATTGAAATATCCAGATTGTTTTTGAGAATTTGCAAATTTTTGTCATGTTTTTGTAAAAATTTCTTCGTTTGAAGATTCAACGTTGCTTTTTTGATTATGCGACCATATCTTCAGATTGTGTGAGATTAAACCTTATTAATATTGGAAAGAGAAAATGCTGTATTGAATGAAATATCTATTTACCGATGAGAATTAATTCCTCCTCTACAATTGGGGCAGACTTTTATCTCTGTATGTTCAGAAGGTAGTTCTTTTGTTTCACTCCATTTGATTTCACCATTTTTAATTTTACTGGTATAAAATTTCTCTATGTCCATCATTCCATCCATTGTTTCTGAATAATTAACAAAACTATCCGAATTAGCCTTTTATATGCCAGGTTAATTTAAGATATTAATTAATATAATATTTACCCATTGTGAAGCAATGACCACAATCCAACACCACCAATCGATGTTCTTCGTTCCAATCCACCGCCTCAAACGTTTCTTGCATAATCAAGTCCACAACTTGTGACTTTACATTTTCGGTTGCGCAGCTAGGACAAAATTCTTTTGAAGGACAAATATCTCCGCAGACACCTTGTCGTAATAATAGTTAACATGATGATTATTTTAACTGATAAAACATTTTAATCATTAGTATCCTACCTGGACATTGATGCCCACACTCCAATTTTAGTTGACATCGCTCATTACATGGAAGTCGAGAACACGGAGCGCCGCATGTTAAGGGACATTCTCCTTGATGTACGCAGCTCCAATCACAAGGTTCCGCACAGACACTGCATGGTTCAAAACATTTTAAATTGCATCTTGTATGTTTGCACCTAACCTTACACGGCTTTTCGCACGGAGGACATGATTTGCCCATGTGACAAAGGGTTTCGCATTGGTGTCCACAGTAAAGGTTCCTAACAATTTCACATTACATCACTTGAGAAGCAATGAAAAATATGCCTTATTATTCGAAATAATCAATTTTACCTTCCACAAATTTGTTGACATTTTTTTGCATGATTAGTTCTCTTTATATGCATTTCACTATCAAATTCTGGAGTATCATTATTCGCTCGAATTGACCTTGTTTGGCATTCAGAACATGCTGCCTTGCATGCGTGTCCGCATTTCAAAAGCTTTCCACATTCACTAAAACATTCTTTTGTATTAACGTCTTCGTGGCTGGATAAATTGCATGAAATAGAATAAATAATACAATAATTAAGAGAAAATAAATCAAAAAAGTTACGATACAAACCAAAACATTTTTAATTCATGTTCACATCGAACAAGTTTACGAGTCAACCTTACTCGACATTTTAAACTTTCTGGCTTTTGTGCTTGATAACAGTGCGGTTTTTCGTATACATGACCACATTGTAAAGTTAGATCACCAACTTTTAATATGCATAATCCACATTCATCCCCACATCGTAACTGGCAAGGATGCTGACATTCGACATGGAGTTTAACGCAAGGTTTCTGACAAAATACACCAATGTGTTCCCTAATTTGGAAATTGTGTACATAAGTCAACAAAATCAGATGAATAAAGCTGCGTCAATATTCGTACCTATCATCGGCATGACATTTATATGGACATTGGTGACCACAAGGAAGTTGGAACTGACACGGTTCCATGCATCCTCCATCTGGAGATACTTTAACGAAGTCACCAGGCTGAGAAATGTTATTCGTATAATGCGGATGCTGCTCACATAATACCGGAAATGCCTTTCCAACTTGGTTTCGCTGACGCAGGATTTTGATTACGTCGTTCCACATTGGAGATCTATTTTGAAACAATTGGGCATCTCCAAGAAGAAACATGCCATGCTTTGCACGTGATAACAACACATTTGTTCGATTGGGAGAATCCAGAAAGCCAATTTTTGCGCGTTTTCCCTCCTTCGTGTTGGCCGAGTTTCGAACAAGTGATATGATTACAATTTTCGCTTCCTCGCCTTGGAAATTGTCCACAGTTCTTAAGGTCACTTGTTGTTGTAACGATCTTGGAAAAAAAAGTTTGTATTGAGATCTCTTGAACCTAATAAAACTTTTTTTAATTAAATTCACTATAAATACCTTTTCGCAGCATAGGTGTTCAACTTCGTGAAGTTTGATTTTTTGCTATCTTCTTCGTTTTCATCTTCACCTTCATTTTCATTTTCATCTACAATGTTTTGTTCATCACGTTCATCAATCACAACTGTCATGTGAGCGCGTTTCAATTCATTCCTATTGTCCGAGAAATAAAGTTAAAAGAACGAACGAAAAAAGCTATTGAAAGTATTAATAATATATATAAGCTTGCCTAATTTTTATTAATTGACCTAGATAAGGAGTTAGAATGGCGATATCATCCGGTTTATTATAACCATTCCGAACGAGGTATTTCACCATTTCGACAATCATATCAGCTTCAAATTTATTCGAATGAGACTGTAAAGCTAACTGAATCGAGCCCGACTTGTCTTCAGGCTTATGGTGGTCCAGGAAAAAGACATTATGCTGTACACCAGACACTTTGGGATATTTAGTGGTTTCTGGTGCATCTTGCAACTCCGAATATAATGTGTATCGGACTAAATCAGAAATCTCTGGTCTCATACGACGCTAATAATTCACACAATATAAATTGTTAGTAAAATAATTAGCATTTAATTTTCCAGTAAATATACCTGAGTCGTTAATTGTGACATTGGTAATTTCATCGCATTGTCGCCATGAACAACTAATAGAAATTCAAGTTTAATACTTATTAACATGATAAGGGAAGCAAAAACAAATTGCAATATACATACGTCTTTCAAAAAGGGATTTGTTCAACTGGTAATTTTTCCCGCTTATAGAATACAAAGTATAAGTATTGACTAAATAACTATAGAAATCAAAAAATTAATTCATCAATTACACATCGGAATCCATATCTAAATAATAGGTTGCAATGTGGGGGCGTAGTTGTAGATGATCACCTAAATTACACAAAATTCATCAGAGATTATTAGCAAGGAAAAACATCGCAAATAGAAATGAGTTGCTTTAATTTACCAATCATTATCAAATGTTGAGTATTAGATGTTAAAGAAGTTAATATATGGGCTTCGAGAACTTCACCAGCTTCTTCGCAAATAATAACGCGAGGACCAATTGAAGCAATAATTGATTGGAATTTCGCTGCACCCGAGGTCGTCATTCCGATAATCTGCACGTTGTGACAAAATATTTTCGAAATTAATTGGCTTTTGGAAATATATATCTATATTATTTTCCAAAATGCAAAATTAATTTTATACCTGGGTGCGTTCAAGAATTCGTCGACGCGTCTCATCATATACATTTTCGATCTCTTTTCTTTTTTCTTCATGACGGGTTTGAAGATCTTTAAGAGTTTCAATGCATTCATTGAAAATCTGTTCTTTCAAATGATCAAGTATTTTCTTTCGTTCAACTTTCGACATTTGCCAAATATCAACTCCGTCCATCAATACATCAATCTTTCGATTTCCTTTCGGTGGCTCCCAATTTTCCCAATAAGTAATTTCGTTTTCATTTTCCAAGTCCTCGATAATTTGATCCTCATCAACCTCGTCGTCATCATTACCAAGAGCATTGAACGGATTGTCATGTGCAATACTATTCGCCTTTTTCTTATTAATTCCTTTTTTCATTTGTTCTCCCAATTTAATGTCTTGATATTGAGCCCAATAATCAAAACTATTTTTGGCATTTTTGTTAACCCATTCTTCGCCAAAATCAAAGTTGTGATTTTTCTCCATAAATTTCAAATAGAGCTCCGGATATTCTGTATATAGTATCTGTTGAACATCCCTCCAAAAAATATTCGATCGTAATAGACGAGTTTTGACCTCATCAATTTCTTCTTTGAGCTCTTCAAGATCTCTGGTCGCTGAGTATAGAAGTTTTCGCGCCGCTGGACTTTTTTCGCAATAACGTGCTATTTCATCTATGCTGGAAATTCATAAAAGAATGATGCAGGAAATTAACAAATTTTGTATTTTTTTCTTTTATATGTCAGTTAAATTAACAAATACCCAAACTGCTGGATTCTTTCACTTTTTGATCGACTTCCCAATCGTACCCTGCCGACAATCGAAAAGATAAATTAAAGTTATAATAATAATAATCAATCAATCTTTGTAATTATATATTTACATGCGATCGATGCCCCGTTCAAGAATATCTTCCAAAAATTGATCCAACGCATGATTTGTATAGCATATGACAAGAATTGGGTAGATATGATTGGTGATGAGGATTTCAACGATTTCCACACCAACGTACGATTTTCCGGTACCAGGTGGACCTTTTTTTTTTATTAAAAGACATAATTTTAATAAATGAAAACGATAGTTACATTTTATATCTATAAAGGTTTTAATCGATTTGAACCTTCAATTAACGCGATTTCACGTGATAAAGATTCCACAATAGCTTTGGCTTGAGTTTCGTCTACGTGGCCAGCTTCCTTTAGCTGTTTCATGCATAGTTGTTGCGAATTTGGTTCATTGACTTTGAGTGAAATCTGATTTGGAACATGTTTACATTTTTTCGTGCGAGAAAGGATAAATTCATGTTGAGGAGCACGAGCATATAGTGGAGGAGATATCACTTGATGTGATTCAGATGGTGTCAAATATCTTTCGAACGGAAATTCTGATGGATTCGTGCTCTGAAGCCTCTTTAACACGTGATAATAAGATTCGAGATATACGCCGGTTGATTCAACAATGTATTTCCCGGCATCTATATTTAGATTTGAATAACCTCTTTTAGCGATATCTGCAAGCGCGATAGGATAAACGGAGTGATCTATGAAATTAATGTCAATTTCAATCCAATTTTCATCTTTTGCTAATCGTTCTTCATCACGGTTAACTACAGTTCTAAATTTTTTAAAAAAGGTGAGAATGCATAATCAATTGCTGATGAAGCAAAAAAAAAAACAAAAATTTTATTATTTACCCAAAGAATAATTTATGTGTGATTTTATTATCATTATCATTAGATTTGGTCGCAATCGGCCAAAGCAAGCAAACCAAACTTCCATTCATCAATCTCTTTGCCTTACTCCAATACTCTATACGCTCCTTTTTTGATTTTGACCCTTTGATATTTGGAGCTGAGAATGAGACGCGAGTTGAGAATCCGCGGCGTCGATCAACAATGATATCGGTAAATTGAACATTATTGTATACAATTAAATCTCCGTTATCCATCCCATTCTCGAACTTGAATCTTCCATTCTCGGACAACGAGACACGAGATTTTTTTCCCTCTTTATTTGCGTCTTCGGAAAGATACTCGAGAAAATTTATTATTCCAAGACGAATCGGATTCAACATATCCTCTCTCAAAAGCCTAAAATTTGTGTCTAATAGTCTTTCCACTCCATCAGGAAGAAAATGCAGCGAATTCGGATCGCAAAACGGTAGAAATGGTTCACGTGTAGCGGAAATGATTTCGTTTTGAGTCGGAATAATAGAGATTTTGCTAATTTCGGTAAAGTCATTATCATGACGCGGTCCACGTTCAGATAATTCTCCTTAAAAATGTCAATGAGTGAAAAGGTTTAAAAAACAACAAATGAATTTTAGAGTCAAATTATAAATAACATGCATACCCGGAGGATCATATCTTGCTTTTAGATCCGCGATTAATCCTTCACGTGATTTAACTTTTAGCGAAGATTTTGGTTCATTTTTCTGAATAATTTTCAACATTTTCTTAAGATACGTAAACTCATTTTCTAAAATCTCCAGTGCATAATTTTTGTGTTCTTGAAAAGCTAACGAATCATTATAGACATTTTCATCCTTCCGAATCGATTCTTCCCATAATAATCTAGCATCATCCAATCGTTTTACAATACGCTGTACCGATTCGTTGACAGACGCCTCTTTGAATCGACGTAGTAACTCTTTAATTAATTTTCCAATCAACATAAAAGGTTGAAAAAAGGATGAAACAATAATCGAATCACTTTCCATTTCCAAGATCTTTTCAGAAGATATTGAGCGATCTTCCAAACTTTTTTGCTTAAAGAGTTTATCAAAGGCATTCATGACTTGATTGCCAATGAAAGCGTCAACATTACTGTACAATACGGAAAAAATCGCGTTAACATTTCTTTCCAAATTACAACGGGCAACCTCCTTTCGAGTAAGTAAAGCGAAAAATGGCAGAATAACTCTCTGGAATGAAGCCGATTGTGGAGAAGTTCCAGCATCAGATGATACGGGAAACATCACAATTTCACGGATCCGATCTAATCCTTCATCCATTCCCAATTTTCCCACCAGATCTTCAGCTTCTAAGCCTTTCTGATCCGCAGTGATAATACAAGAGTTTATAAATTGTCGGATGTATCGTTGGGTCTCTAAAGGTCGGTGAATAGCTCTTCGCCAATAATCTTTTAGTACGTCTCCATGTTTCATCGGAAGAATCGCTTCGCTATCCTCCAACGACAAGGATGAAGATACAAAATTTTTATTCATTAACTCTTTTTGATTATTTCCTAACCTCACAGCTTCTTCGCGCGATAATGGGTTATAGTTTCTCTGAGAATAATTAGAGCCGGCTGGACCAAACCGACCTCGATTATTTCGATTCCTATTATCGCCGCCACCTCTACCTCGACCGCTGCTACTTTCCTCTTGAGCATTATTTCGTTCACGGTTGGCATTATTTTGCCTATTGCCGCGTTTATTAGCATTAAAGCTCTTGTTATTGCGCCTGCCTGACATTATTTCTTTTATGCGGATTTGTAACAAAATATGTCACAACTACTTAAAGGCACTCAAGTCGCTTATTTAAATATGTGATTCATTTGGCGCAGAATTTTAGTATTAGATTGTTTAGAACTAGTTGCATCATCGGATTTAATCAATCATTTTACGCATTTGGGATAATTTGGTTCTCAACGATTCCAAGACATTTTCAGGTTTCCTTTCTTAAAGAAGTTTGTTCAACATTCGACTTGTTTTTTTTGTTTGACAGGAAAATCAATCAAGAAAACAGATTCTCTAAAAGGAAATGTCCTTATATGTCAAGTAGGTATAGATTAAGATCGACAAACCAATCTCGAAATTTATAATATGTCCTCGCTACTTTTACGTCCACGTTTCTTTTCAACTAAAACAAATAACCTGACAGTTTTCCGAACCCTATACCCACGAGTACGTAACGATACCAATAATAATTTATTTGTTTGTAGTAGCAGCAACGTTGCATATAGTATTCGTAAATACGCCTCTTTGTCTCACGACGACCCTCACCACGACGACGAACACTCAACCGCAGAAACCGATAAACTCCCTAAAGAGCCGGGTACATGTATATGGCAATGCGAGTTCATAACATATATACACTAGGCCTGTTCTGGTCTGAAATTCTGTTCTTATTGGATATATCAATTTTTGCAAATTTAAAAATTTCCGAACAGAACAGAAATTTCAGACCTGAAATTCTGTTCAAACAATGAAAAAAAACAAAAATCAGACTAGTGTTCCGAAGAATTTGATTGGTCGATCAATTTTTATTTTTTGGAACAGAACAGACAGGCTACTATATATATATGTATATATGTATGTATGTATGTATATATTTTAATTTTTACGTGACAACTTCTCGACTTTGTTAGGATTCAATACTCCATTCTGGCGTAAAAGTCTATTTGTGGTGATTCTTGGGTTTGCGTGGTATCACGTCGATAAATACATCACGAAAAATGGTTTAGTATGTATTATTATTGTTTTAGACTTCAATAATTTCTAATTTATTCATCATTATTGAATTTTATCTTTTAGGAAAGACATCCAATAACAGCTGTAAGTGATTTATAGTATTACCAGTTAATTAATAGATAAAAGAAAAAAATTAATTATTTATTTCAGCTTGTGGAGTCATGGATCACACCAGAGCCGGTTAACAGACGTATTCAAATCGAATCTATGCTGAAAATGGAAGCTCACGCGAAAGAAAGGCATATATTTATATATATCTTCTTTATTTTAAAAATATTTTGTACTAATTATAATTTAATAGACTTACGATCCAAGAGCTTGAGAAACCATTGATTAAACGTGTTCGTTACCCAGAGTATGGACATGTCTTTCTCATGTTGCTTTATTTTGATTGAATTAATTTTGTTTAAATTTATTACGATATAATTTTTCTATATTTCTCGGTGTAGAGCGTTCGACATTAAAAGTCCGTACAACGTGATCCCTGGTACTGATGTTGATTTATCGGATTTGGTAATACGAAAGGATTATTACTAGGAATTAAGAGTTGCTTCCTTAATATTAAGTTCATTAAGAAAAAAAAATGGGGTAGAGGTTATATATTAAGTTTTTTACTCAGCCAATCAATTTTGAAAATATATAAAAAGAAAATAGAATTTTGATTGAATTTCGTAGGCATTAGCAAATACAACTTCCGCATAATTTCAGTAAGGATGAATTGCAACTATTTCATTAACTTTTCATGGAAAGGAAATATTTATTCCATGCTTGTTAAGAATACCAAAACCTTCAGTAATTTGCTCTGCAATGAAAAATGATTCAATGCTTGAAACAAACATCATTCTCTCGGGAATAATTCATTAGCGTAACAAAAAACTATGCGTGCTAGATTGTATGCACATTACTTTACATAGCAAACAATCTTAATATTATCAAATCACTATAAAATATGCGCAGCAAAGTACAATAATAAACGCTAACTTTGTTCTTTATATGTGAAAATGAGCAAGCACACGGTTTAATATTAATCAAACAGGTATGATAAAGGAAGCAAGGGAGGGAGGAGATTTATATTTCAAATATGTATGTATCGTATATATGGCATATATTATATATGTCATATACACGATGATCTCATGATCCAAAAAGTTCATATTAATTCTATACTACTAAGGAATTCTTATTGTTTGTTGTTGATGGTAGTTGTTACTCTGATGATGATATGTATTGAGGGTGTGTATGTAGTATGTTTTGTTTTGTAAAAAAAAAAAAGGAGGTTAAAGAAGGTTACATAGAAGATTGATTGACTGTGATGAAATAGCAGTAGTTAAGATATTAATTTGATTGTTGAAATGTACGATGAAGTAGATAGATATCCCCCGGGGAACTCAATTAAACTAAAACATTATCAAAATAGATTCCTTTCACATCTTTTCCCTTCATCGATTGTTTTACATTGTATTCGAAGTTTTTCCGGTTCGTCCTCAAATCCTCTGCAGCATCTAATTAACAAAAAAAAATAGGATAAGTGAGTGACACTTATTTCGTGGAATGGATGATGAAAGAAAGCGAAAAATTTACCTTTATTGAGTGGATCATCTGCATTAGGTTCTAAGAATAGATACTGCAGTCCTACCAAGACCGAGTTAAGATTCAGCACAGGCTTCCAGTCTTCACGAAGAATATTCAAACATACATTCCCTTCAAGATCGATATTGGGATGATAAATCTATGAATAGCAGTATAAGAATGACTTTTGTCCTTACTCTATGTATCTTTCAACGATGAACAAGCAAATTACCTTTTGAATGCATCGAACTTTTGGTGGGTCATGAGGATAATTGTTGTTTACATTGAATGTGAATTTGAAGACGCCACCTTTATAGAAACCTGATCAAGATAATGGTAACATGAATATGGATAACTAAATGAACTCTTCATTATAAACATAAAATAAGGATAGTTCATACCTTCATCTGGCTTTATAGACAGGTTGAAATTGAGCAAATCTGATTCATCAGGGAAAGTCATATGCATCGTGTCAGGAAGTGCCAGTTCAGTCAAATCTTTGGGAATAGCAAAAAAAAAACTTGGTTAATAACTAGTTTTTTTTCTTCAATGTTTCTGTGATAAATAGTTAACTAAACCACCGCAAGAAAGTAACAGCTGCCAAATGTGATGTAGTAAAACTCCATAATTTTGACTAACCAAAACACTGTAAACCTCGTAAGGTCAGTCATTACACATCTATAAAACAATTTGCTTGCAACAGCACCATCCAAGGTATCTTCCGAGATACTCACCCTTTTGCACACGAATCTGAGCAGCACTAACTTTAGGTTTCTTTTTCTCGGCTTGCGCGTTATCTTTCTTGATTGACCAAATTTTGATCATTGTGAATTATTTGTTCGTGTTTGCGAGGTTCTAGTTCTAAAGTGTACTAGTAATTGATCGAAGAGTTTTTGTTCAGACTTATTTTAGACGCGACTTTATTAAATAGGATAGAATTATTGATAGGCAATCAAGAGTAATTGGTGTATATTGTTATATTTAAGGGCAAAAAAACTCTGAGAAACAAAGAAAATATTGTATGTCCGAAAAACAGTTAGAATTTGAGGTCTTATACGGCTATATATGTATGATATACAGTAATTACCATCACCCCCCCTTTGTGTTATATCATTGTTTGAAAGAGACTGCGCCTCGGCTGGTTTTTGCAGTTAAGAAGAGAACATGCGCCTTTGCTCAATTCGACTAACGAATTACGCAGAAATCCTAGAAAATTATTCAAAATTCGGACGCAGGTGTTTAATTGACGTTGGTGTAACTTTCTCGAGTATGGCGAAAAAAAGTGTTCGGATCATGTGATATTCGGGTATATCCGGAAAAATTCTATGATAATAGAGATTATTGTCAAAGATTAATTTACGGTTAGGGTTAGGGTCGGAGTCAACTATATATAAAATTGTCTTCCCGACATTTTTGATTAGTCTATCAAGCTAGATTTAGGCATCTTTTCCCGTATTTTTGCTTTTTCATTTTCTTGTGTCGGATTTGTTTTGCCGGGCTGATCAAAAAGTTACGCATTTTTATTGGTTTGTGTCACCAGCAGATCAAAAAATTCACGATTCTTATTGGTTACCACGTGATCTGAACACTTTTTCGCCATGGTTAGGGTACTCAACTTTCCCCATAATTATTTGATTTGTTATCATTATCGAATAACCAGAATTCAAATACAGACATGACGACAACTACAGACATTTTTAAGAATGATATCTTGAAAGGAAAAATCGCGTTCGTGACTGGAGGTGCAAAATTATTATTCTTTTTCGCTTCTATAATGCTTTTCAAGATAATTGTTAATATATGGGATTGTGAATTAAGGTGGAAGTGGGATATGTAAAGGTATGACCGAAGCATTGCTTACTCATGGAGCAAGCGCGGTAATTACGAGCAGAAGGTTAGTCAATTCATTTAATGCTTGATATTTTTTAATTTACGTGGAAATAACAAACTTTTTGACGAAAAAGTCTCGAGCGTTTAGAGAAGGCAGCTGAAGAAATGCGTAAAGCTACAGGTGGCGAAATTTTGTGAGTCCTTGTGTTTTGCGTGCAAGTGTTTTCGTTTAGCGTTATGCTTCTGAATTCAACACATATTCTCCTTAATTCTAGGCCTGTGGCAGCTGATGTACGTAAGCCTGACGAGGTTGAAAAAGCCGTAAAGAAAGCTATTGAAACATTCGGTAAAATTGATATACTGGTCAACGGAGCAGGCAAGTAATGATTACGCGTGAATATATTATTAATAATAAATCATTAACAATTCTATAATTTTCGCTTCTATAGCCGGAAATTTCCTAGCATCCGCCGAGACTCTTTCATCTAACGCTTTCCGTACCGTAGTGGGAATAGACCTGTTTGGTACTTTTAATGTCACCAAAGCTTGTTTCCCATACCTGAAAAAATCTAAAGGATCGATAATTAATGTGTCGACGACGTTATATTATAATGGTATAATAATTGTATGAATTATATATATATACTTCATAAAAGAGATAATTACTTATGGTTGTTTTTTTTTCGAATTGAAAGCCACCTTGTTTCAGGTAGTATTTTAAAGAATAATGATGATCGGGAAAAGGTTCAAGTTTTAGTCCCTTTAAGTAATTACTATCCAACTTCCTTAGGCTCACGTTTCAGCCGCAAAAGCAGGAATCGATAGTTTGACCAGGGTAAAAAGATCATCTTTTGAAATTATTTACTGCGGGGAGGAAATACTTAATATTAAAAAAAATTTGGAATTAGACACTTGCAACGGAATGGGGACCTTATGGTATTCGTGTGAACTCTCTCTCGCCAGGAACAATTGCCGATACTGAAGGATTCTCAAGATTACTACCAGTAGCTGCCAAAGAAAAAACTCTTAAAGAAATCCCGCTACAACGATATGTAAGTTTGTAAATGTTCAATGGAAGATTTATTAGCGCTCGAACTTATTTGGTGACTATCATGTAGGGTAAAATCGATGATGTCAAGCACGCGACTGTTTTTTTAGCGTCAGATGCTGCTGCTTATATATCAGGTATAACAAGAAATCATATTACTACTTTTTGTTATCATCATTATGACATGCCTAACATTTTTTTCTAGGTCACATTTTAGTAGTAGATGGTGGCGATTGGTTGAGGAAAGTTGGAGTACTGCCATATCCCGCGAGCGTCTTAAATCCAAACGAAGCTTTGAGTAAATCAGGAGTTAAATTATAAAAAGACTGAATCTCTTTCGCACGCCATATATATATATATCACATGACAATTATTTAATAAATAAATTAACGCAATAGTCGTCGTGTTGATCTTCAAATGTCTAATACACAAAATCGCATTAATCCTGGTGTTCCTTTTACCGAGTTTTCAAACCCAAAAGCAGAACTTATAACAGAAGACGCGCACAACGCTCTCGACATTTATTGCCCACAACCTTTATGTCGTTCATTCATTCTACGACAAAATATTGGTAGCTGGGTTGAGAAACCAAAAGGAAAGGTTGAAAGCTTGTTTGTTTTACGTTATTTTGTTTTATTGTTATTTATTTTGGTTATTATAATTGAGAGTTTTTCGAGTTTTTTCGTCAGTGAATAAAGTTTCGTCTGTTTTATCTATTATATACTGTCTATCATACATAAATATTTTGGATTTTACAGCTCAATACATCAAATGTCGGGGAAACAACAACTCCAACAAACCAACAAACTACAACATCCACCGCACAAGGACTCCAACCTTACTGGCGCCTAACTGAAATGATGGACTTTGAAAATATTGGGTTCTTGAAAACGATAGAATTAACCGGAATAAAATATCTAATTTGCGCTGATTGTGATTTTGGCCCGTTGGGATATCATGAGACGAATGTTCCGGAAAAGGAATATTTTATTGCTGCGGATTTTGTAAGGTACAAGAAGGAGGATAATGTTAATTCTTTGGTTTAATTTGTATTTATAAAGGAGAGAATGCTTTATGTAATTTTATATGTAATTATAATATACTTGATGTTTATTACGTAATTGAATCATAGAGATATGTATAGTTTCTTACTAAAGAGGAGTTCATAAACCTCTTCGTGAAATTTAACATCAATTTCTTGGTTCTAGCATTCGGCGACCAAACGTCCTCGTAGATGTTTATATGTGTTAGCTATAGAGGTACAAGCCAAACAACATGAGTACATGAAATACTTTCATAAGGCTTTAAGAAGCAAATATCACGCGATTAGCTCAAGCGAGAGCTTTTGCAATAAGGATTCAATTGTTCTTATTTGAAATATGGTATTACATATAACGATAATTAGCTCAAGCTACAAAATAATTCCACTAGTCGACCATAAATTGAGGCTCCGCTAGTCGAATTACCACTAATCGGAGTATGAATATAAGAGTCACCAGTTGGCAATGTTAGAGACATTTCAAATTCTTGTTAGGGATCATACTTATCATGCAAAACGAGATTTACTCACAAGTAATGATTGCAATTAATTTTTTATTTTTGTCAGTTAAATGATAGAGGAAGAAACCAGATATTTTGATGAATTTCGAATTTGCGCACTAGAAAATTTTAATCCTTATTACGCTAATTATTGATTTATTTCAAACCGGAAAACTCCATTTCCCAACAAACAATAAATAAAAACATTGTGATTTATTAGAAGAGTCAGATCCCAAATATTAATAATCTCAACATAGAGATTTCCATATTCAAAGATACAAGTCCATTCTTGTGCTCCTCATATATATATTACCATTCTTATCCCTGTAAAATAGTTGAGGATCGGTTGAAGCATATGAAGAAGATCAGTCAGGACCAGCAGAAGGCTCAGGAAAAAAAATTTTGATGTGTAATCATTTGTTGGAGTTTTACGTTTTGGAATTTTTAAATAGATTAGTTCAATAAGCGTAGCTGACTGGTGAAATAACACGGGAAAATCTTCCCTTGCAATTCCAGTCTGATATGTAAAATTCTTCAGTCAGATAAATTTTCTGCAAATACTTGGATCCCTAAACGTGAAGATTGTCTGATATAACAGTTTCTATCATTTAAAAAATTACAAAGTGCGGTCATATCAGTCATATCAAAAGATTCATTCACAAAGGGCTGTCACCTTTTTTGAATTGTAAGTTCACATGTTTTAAGCGACCTAACCCATGTCGATATTCTGCATTTCCTAATGTGGACAATTAATCATTAATCGTTGCGCTTGTTCGGATATTTGTAGCAAATCATTTATTCGAATCCAACCAAATTCTTTATACTGTCAAAGCTCGATTTAACGACTATGCGATTTAATGAAATTGTGAGTTAACGACTCTTGTTCCCAGGTCACTAGCATTTACTGATTCATCGGTAAATCGAGGTCTGACTGTAAAATATAGATCCAAGTAAAGTTGTATATACCTCTGACTTCTAGTTATATCGAAAATCGAACTTGAACTAAAGTTCGAGTTCGAGTTCAACTCAAATTTTCAGGTTCAAGTTTAAATCAAAATCCTAGAGCTTCATCAAGGATGATCGAAAATATCAGGATATCAAACTCATTGTGCAAGCCTGCTCAATGGCTTTTTCATTCTATCAGTCTAACTAAAAGCTTCACAAATAAGTCGTCAGAGTAGTGACATATATTTCTGACAAGAAGGGTTGAATTTACTGTTAATCGTAACACAATGTTTAGACGACACATCTGGTGAGATGTTCTGCCTGTCGTCTGTTTCTTCCAAAATCATCAGTGAGCCGACTAGAATGCATGAAATCAAACCATGAAATGTCTTTTGAGCATTTGTTACCATAGTTATTTGCAACAAAAGAAAGTCTGTATGTTATTGATAATTTATAATCTCCAAAAGATTATGAAATAGAAGAGATGGTATATCATTATATACAGTAACATGGAATACTTTGATGCGTTAACGTTTTCAGATGCATGGCAGCGAGGGGTCATTACAGATACTTGTTCAAAAATATACCGATACTGTGCTTTTGTTTATAAATTCATTAAATATTACATCTGGTTTTTTAAAAAAATTAAAACTTACAATAGTCAGACGAATTAAATTGCATTGAAAAAGAAACGAAATGACAACATGATAGATATAAAAGAGCAAATTAATCAACGTCTCCTCAAAATAAATGATAACTCTTCCGTATGTGTATGGTTCTTTTGCATGCGCGTTTAATATTTCTAGTTTTTCGCTTTCTTCATTGTTAGGAAATTTACTTTCCAAAGTTTAAGATCACTAGCCTCAATATAGCCGAAAATATTTCTCGTCTCCTCTTTAATAGCGTCTTTAAGATGCTCAATGGTCTGAACTCCGCTAGTATCGATTGGAAAAGCGTTCACAGGAGTTTCACCTTGGATTGCCACCATTCGATTTCGTTCGAATCCAATCACTGGATGTCGAGATATCGCGTTCAAGTGATCGTTTTATTGAAATCAATATCATATTGTGAGAATATATGCTTTATCGTTATTGATTCATTTTAGAAATAATACAAAAACATCGTACTAATATTTATAAGTCCAGCTAATGCCAAGTCGATGTTTAATGTGGTGATGCTTGATTATAATTGAATATCTCATGAAGGATTGTAAGTTCTAACCCCCTCCTTCCCCCCCCCCCCTCCCCATGTTTTTGTGCCTTTTGGTTGATTTGTAGATTTTTCGGTTCGCAATCTCGTATAGTATTGTTGGTATTATTAATATGTTACGTATGGTGCAATTGTATTTTATAAATTCAATAAGTTTCCTAATTAGGAAACTTATTGAATTTATAAAACGCTCTTAAAATACCTCCCATGTAAAGTAACCTCTATGTAAAGTACTTGGGGTCTTTTACAGAGCGATTTACGGTATGCGATAATGATTAGATTATTATTAAATCTCAATATTGGTGTTTTGCAAAAAAATCACGTCTTGAACAAAAGTCGTTTCGTCCCAATTACTAGTAAAATTTGATTGATAAATCGCTATCGATATAGTTAAATTTTGTAATACAGTGCGTGACACCTAGTCCCACAACTGCTGCGCCACGTGGCCAAGTTGGGTATCTGGTCATCCTCCAGTTTATTGTAAAAATGCACGCATTATCACAAATCTCTTTAATTTGGTTGATAAACTTAATTCTGGCCTGCATTATCACAGAAATGACATTACAGCATCTTATTCCTCAGCTCTCTCTTCTCTTACCAAATATTGTCAAAGCGATATTGTGCAACATAGAGATCCAATTTGAATTATCAATAAATTCTTAATGTTCAAATTTAATATTAATCTTAATGCTAGCCAAAACCTAATACATTATCCTTAATGCTGGCTAAAATTAAGTGGCCAAATTAGATGTAACCATAAAGTTTTAATAAATAAAAATGCATAATTATACTAAAAGTGGCGGGACTAGGTGTCCGCACTATACAAATAAAATTGTGTCGATCTCGAAGCACAATGTTGTGCGACCTCTCATTTAAAGTTTTACGGGATAATTTTGTATTGGTACATAGCATCTAAACTCATCAATAGATAACGATAAATTCAATAAACTTCTTAATCACAAAATTTAATCCGTGAATATGATAAAATAGGATTAAATTTTGGATTTACTTAAATTCCGTGAGAAAATGATAAAAATGCATTTTTCTGCTTTTGTTAATTTTGCTTCATAGCGTATAGAATTCTGTTCAAAGTTATATTTGTTATTATATGGCCTGTTGCGCGTAATTTTTATTTGTCATGTGATTACTTTCATACAAAATAACGAGAACAGAAATCGAAATACGAAAATAATAAATAGAAATCGATAAGTGTAATAAACACGAAAATAATAAATAGAAATCGATAAGTGTAATAAACACGAAAATAATAAATAGAAATCGAAAAGTGTAATAAACACGAAAATAATAAATAGAAATCGATAAGTGTAATAAACACGAAAATAATAAATAGAAATCGAAAAGTGTAATAAACGCGAAAATAATAAATAGAAATCGATAAGTGTAATAATAAACGCGAAAATAATAAACGAGAGCAGAAATCGAACGCGTAATAATAAACGAGAACAAAACAAAGAGACATTGTAACTAATCTAAGTAAAATTTGATATAGGAAACTCGAGAAATAAGAAATTCTGGGCTAAGTCACATTTCTTCATCTTCGATTTCGTCTCCGTCTCCGTCTCCGTCTTTGTCTTTGTCTTTGTCTTCTTCTCCTTCTTCTGTCTTCTCCTTCTCCCTCCGCTATATAAATAGATAGAGATGAGTTGAGAATGTCAGTGTCTTAATATAGAAATATATTAATTTACCACAAAAGATAAAATTCAAATACCTTCGTTTCCAATATTTGGAGGAAGCAAAGGAGGGATGACCACTAATTCTGGAATCGTCACCGAATCAAACGTTGGGTGATAATAATAATCATTTGCGTAAGAAATTTCTAAACCATTGATAAATTCTTCAGGGTTTGGGTCTATTGGCACTTCGTTTGGCATGTTCACTATCGGCCTGAATATATTGGACTCCCTTATTTGATAGTCATATACTATATCATAGAACATAATTTCTATAATTTTATTTGGTATTTTGGAATAATCTTTATTCTTTTGAACGTGGAGAAGTCTTTGAATAAATGGAACAAGAAGAAATTGTGTTTCTTGAGTTGTGGAATAACCTTGGAGTAGTCTTTTATAAAGAAATGACGTTTCTTGAGTGGTTTTGGTTTATTCTCTGAATTACCACGCGTTTAGATTACTTTCTATTTTTGGCTATTCTCTTTGTCAAAACCACCTTCTATTGTTGCAAACGCGTGGCAGCACAAACGTTAGTATGCTTAAAAGACTTCATCAGTAGAAATGTAAAATTTATCTTAAATTGAAAAAAAGGGGCAGATAATTTCTGCGCGCTATTTTCTCAACAAGCAATTCGATAGAAGAATCAACCTTATAAAATATTGCAGACGCGTGGCAGCACAAACACTAGTATATGCTTAAAAGTCTTCATCAGTAGAAATGTAAAATTTATCTTAAATTGAAAAAAAGGGGCAGATAATTTCTGCGCGCAATTTTCTCAACAATTCATAGAAAAATCAATCTTCTAAAATATTGCAGACGCGTGGCAGCACAAACACTAGTATGCTTATGGTACTTTGTATTAAGATTATCGTTTTCATCATTGAAAAATTACCTTTTTATTGTAGGCGCTTGGCACCATATTGAAAAAGGTAATTGCCACACATATATAACACAAATGTTCTTTTTTATCGATGTACAGATTGATTGCATCATATCGTTTCATAATCTGTTTAATGACCTTTTCCGTTAAGCTTTGTAAATGTAAATTATTCAATAGAGCAGGCATCAGTGGGTAAAGAATTTTTCGGGAGACCAATAAAGCCAACTTCTCCAACGTAATCATCAAAATTTTCCCGCTCACGTATATGCCGGGTAAATTTTTGATTAGCCCAGAATTCAAATCCGACGCGCGAAAAAAAGCAAAGTCGACTAAATCTAGCTTGGGACACTAATTAAGATGATTTTACATATAATCCTGACTCTGAATACTAGTCCTTAATACCATAAATTGCTACAAATGTGGCACAATAGCTACATCACATATCACGTGAGCGGGGAAATTCCACTGGACTAGAGAAATTCTGAATTCAAATTCTCGGTTTGCCAACAATTATTATAAAATTAAATCATAAATGAAATTATAAATTATATGATTGAGCTTGAGCATTTGGTATGATATGGTTAAAAAGTAATTATACCAAAATGCTTAATCATCTCAAATTAAATTATTTATTAAAATAATCATATTCAGAATTCATACTTAACCCTAACCCCAACCATACCATACCAAAATGCTCAAGCATACCCAGACTTAAATAGTTATAATCGCAGAGGCCGCGCTATTTATTCGATTATTATAATTCTTTTTCTACATAATTCAACGCCCCCCCCCCCCCCCCCCCCCCCCCCCCCCCCCCCCCCCCCCCCCCGCCGCCCCCCCCCCCCCCCCCGCCCCCACCCCCCACGCAGCCCCGCGG